ACTCAGGCATGTAAAAACCTTCGCACGTGGGCCGGTAACTCAGCAGGGATACCCCTACCTGAGGGTGGTGACAGCCCCTCTGGTAGAGGTAAGTTGTACCTCGCGACGTCCCGACCTGTCGCAGGGCGTCGTGAGAGCTATAGCACGCGCGCACGGTTGGAGTGGTGACAAGTTGATTCTTCAAAAATAAATCCTACGTGACACGACCCATGAGGTTCAGCGCTCCCAGCGGGGTGCGGGACCGCCGCGCGCGACAGAAGGCGCCGTTGTCGGGGATCTCGCTTCCTAGCCGAGGTCCTTAGAGAACGAACTCGGGTAAAGCAAGATCCTGACAAAACGACAATTACCGAAGTCAAAATTGACTAAGGGTTAGAGCGGAATAAGGTGAATCGCGTTGTTAGTAAGAAGTAGTCAACAAGTCAGTGTGTAGGGTATAGGTTAATTAATACCTAGGTACGATTACCCGACTTATAGTAAAAGTAAAACAAATATGACACCTAAAGGTCGTGGGACCGGTACTGGTAGAGGAAGAGGTGGCAGACAAGGGAAGGCACCTGAAAAACCTATAGATTTGACTAAGAAATGGGAAGACTGGAGAGAAGATGCTGAAGAGTCAGAAGAGAAGGAGGAAGGGTTGAGGGCACAAAGATATCGGGAGGAAAGGCGCATGCATACTCTAAACCTTGAGGAAATGACTTTCTACTCATATAGGTACGCAAGGCGTTACGGCGAGTCTCCGCCACGCTTCGAACCGCCTAGCCGCCCGCATCATACCCCTTATCAGTTGTCTCAAGAACGGCAGTTGACCGTCCTTCCCCAACCTCACCAGCAAGGGCCTCAAGCAACACCCCGCGTGCCTGACCGTCCTGTGGTCGCACAATCTGCGCCTCCTAATAGGAGGATGTGTATATCACTCTTGATGTTTATATTATGTCAGATAGAGATCTGCGGGTTGGTAACCTACTTATTGTATAAAAAAATTATATAAGGATCTAAAGGGTTGGATAGGGTGACGAAATAAGATAAGAAGGAAATTAGTTAAGTCATAGACTGAAATCTGCTAGCTAAATGAAAAAAACATGGGCAGGATTGTGTTATAGGTGGAGTAGAAAAGGGTGGCGTCTGCCCGAGACAGGGTATTGTTGGGGAATGTCTGTGGGGGAATAAGCCTTCATCTAAATTAAGTCTGATGGGTTAGGGGCAAGAACCGTGCGGTAGAAAGGGTTGCCTTGTATATCGCATCGGAGAACTTGCAGGATAGTCTCGTACTTGATATATAAAGGGATCATCAAAGGAAGGGGAGTAAGATAGGTAGAGACAGGGATTTCTTGCATCACTAAGTAGAAGAGAGACGTGAGGAGAATCTATTTGAGTAAAATTGAGAAAACGTAATTTGAACCCTCATGATCTTGCTGGCGTCACACCAAGAGAAGCTAAAGAATAAAGGGGGTATGCCAAAAAAACTACGGGAAAAGGATGTCTATCTTTAAGTCAGGCTATTCCATAGTAAGGGCACCCAGAGATTAAAGACTGAAGTAGTACATTAAAATAAGATGTCTTTTGGCTTGCTCTTGACAGGTCTTCGGGATTTGATCAAGATGCCTTATGCGTAGCAAGTATCCAAGGTCGAGGCGCCAATTAGGAATGATGATGGGCTAGAAATGACGCTGCCAAAAGGAAGAAGCCAAGCAGAACTTTGTGAATCATGGTGGGGTTGCTCATTGTTAAGTGAGGCATTTTTGTGGGTAGAAACGAGTTGGAATACGAGGGAGGAGTGACATAGTGTGAGGGTCACCATCTACCTGGCTACGAGTCTCTGCCATGATTGTGAGTCAAATTTCAATCAAAGCATAGAAGGCTATCTACTGATGCTCAGAGGGATGGCAGAAGTGAGGCTCAGAGGTTGGAACAGGGGAAGTCACTGGGTAGACATAAGTGAAGTTTTAAAGGAAATCAAAATGCTTCTGGCTAAAGACTTTACTCTTCCGGTTCGTTACATTAGAACCACGCTCCCAGATTTTATTGTCGAAGAGGTGTTTTTTTGTCAAGAACAGGTAGAGATGGCCGCTGAAGCAGCACTGAGAATACCTAATAGGGGGTATGATTTTTCCACCCCTCACATGATTTACTGCCTATACCTGGAAATGGGCTCCGAACTTGCCGAGAGTGATTTTAGTAACTTGTTGTCCATCGTAAACGCGTACACTAGAGTTTATTTCATGGAAGAGCGATTCAGGTACTGGGAGAAGTTGAAAGAGGAAGTGAGGTCTGGAATCTGCGTGGATGGCATTCCCATCATGTTTGGGTTAGTCTACAATATCTGGTCTAAGGATTGGGTGACGACGAATGAGATGGAAGAAGAAGAAAGAGGTTTTGTGTTCTAGAAGTGACAAAAGAAGACGACGAAGAGGTAGGAGAGCCTGAAATAAGAAAAAGAAGAAGGGGTTATAGGGAAGCAGTTGTTCATTTTAAAGTTGACAAAGAAGTTAAAAGGGTTAAGATCGATAAAGATAGGATATGGAGGAGCAAGGTGTTCAGACGACCTGAGAAAGGAAAAACATAGGATGAAGATAAGTCAGTGCTAAGTAGACTTACGTATAAATACTGTGTGTCTTTTTGTCCCTCCTTTCTTTTTGTATCACTCAGGCCATCAGAAAACACCTTAAGATGTCATATGTCAGTCAAGGATCTGGGATCGAAATCCCCGTTCGTACGCCACAGGGATTGAGAATGTCCCTACCTAGAAGCCTAAGTGAAAGAGAGGAGGAGATCACTGCATGGTGGGGCACCTCGATCGGACCTGAGGCGTTTGTTTGGGTTAAAATGGGGCACACTCTCGATCGTCGGGAGAGTATAATAGTGCGGATGACGTTGTATCTTTCGTCACATCTGTGGAGGATGCATGTGATAGATCTGGCGGTAGGACACAACCAACCTTTATCGCGGTACGTCCTAATCACTGGGACGATCCTTGAAGAAAGGATTTGAGAGACTAGCTGGGGGGAATTCAGGCCTGTGATTTCTATGATAGAAGCAAGATGGGCGGCCGACTTCGTTTATCCCTCTGACTATATAATAGTCACTCTTTCGGACTTCATCATTGATGAAGTCTTCAATGGGCGCATAAATGTAGAGCAAGCAGCCCTAGCAGCTCGAGTGGCAGACCAGGGAGGGTGAGAATGTTTCACGCCAGAAACCCTCTATTTCCTATATCTGGAAATGGAGCCAGAATTGGCTGATAGGGATTTCGAGGATATCCTGTCAATAGTTAACGCTTACGTCCGCGTCCACTTCATGGAGCCAGGGCAAACATATTGGAAACAACTCAAGGCCGAAGTAAAAATCAGGGCGTATGTTGATAGCATCCCTGTAATGTTTGGAATGGTATATGATTTCTGGACGGGCGACTGGGTATCCGTTGAAGAAGTTGGACGGATGGGATGATAAAGAAGGTGACGTGAATCAATTTTGACAGAAGAGGCCGGACTTGGGTATTTAGAAGCAGGATAGGGACACTGATTAGGAATGACAGTGAGTGACAGTTGATAAGGGATCATGAACTATAAATGTAGATAGGGACACTGATTAGGAATGACAGTGAGTGACAGTTGATAAGGGATCATGAACTATAAATGTAGATGCAGGGAGTCTTAAATGGTGTGTGGGATAAAAAGGGAAAAAGTTAAAAAAGGAAAAAAGAGTGAGACGACCAAAAATTTAATCCGAAACACCATTGTTTTTGTCTATGTAACACAAATTCACTAAGAACAAGCGGGAAAAATGGGAGACGCAAATGGGACAGAGCCCATAATGACGACCGAGATCGCACGATTACTGGACAACAGAAATGTCAGGAGGTCTCAACTTCCTCAGATAGAAATTTTTCCATTCCAAGGAGAGAGAGTGTCGCACTGGCTTGAGTTGCTAGAGCAGGTCTTCAATCGACTGACGCTGACGAAAAAGTTCGCCCAGTTATTCGAATATGTGTGGTGGGAATATCGCCCCGACGTTGAGCAGAATGGGAGACGCAAACGGGGCAGAGCCCATAACGGCGGCCGAGATCGCACGATTACTGGACAACAGAAATGTCAGGAGGTCTCAACTTCCTCGGATAGAAATCTTTCCATTCCAAGGAGAAAGAGTGTTGCACTGGCTTGAGTTGCTAGAGCAGGTCTTCAATCGACTGACGCCGGCGGAAAAGTTCGCCCAGTTATTCAAATATGTGTGGTGGGAATATCGCCCCGACGTTGAGCAAATTGTGACCAACGCCCAAGGGGACTGGGATAATTTCAAAGTGGAGATGCAGAGGAAATATAAGCTGGGAGACAGGTTATTGATAATCGACCAACTTTATAACATCAGCCGAAATGACTTCACCACGATAGGGGCATTTGCAACAGCCTTTGAGAAAATGGCAAAGCGAGTACCAGGACTTTCAGAAGAAATGCAGTGTGTCATTTTTCTAGGAAAGTTCTCAGGATACGAGACTATGGAGTTGACCCGGGGAGGAGCACCAGGGAAAAAGACTTCATGGGAAACCATAAAAAAAAAATTGGCATCTGGGGACCTAGACCAGGTATTCCACCATCAAGTGAAGATGGAAAGGAAGAGAAGGAAGGAAATAAGAATCGTCCAAGGAGCGGACTCAGCCTTAGGAGGAGTGTCGAGTAGTATGGTCACTCCACTAAAAGAGTTGAAGGACAAGGTGGAGTCAGGAAAAGTGATGGCAGTTGAACAAGTGACGAATACGAGAAGACATGAGGAGGAGAGTGATGAAAGTAAGGGGGAAGCGAAAACTGAAACAGTAACGCAAGGCAAGAAGGCCCAAAAGCAGAACCAGAACCAGATACCAAAGAAACAGGGGGCATGAAAGGGACAAAGTTCACAACAGACTGGGGGAACAAATGTCGCAAGAACATCAGCCCCGGTTCCTCCATTTGGACCATGGCCAGTGGTGACTCCTATGGGGGCATGGTCGGGATATTACCCCGGGAATCAATGGCCGGGTTTTGGACAAATTGGGATGAACCCAAACTTACTCGAGGTTCAAGGAGTTGGGGCGGGACCATCCCAGGGGCAAGGAGCAAATGGAGGGTTGCCACAATAGGCTCCGCCGCCACAAGGTAACCAAGGACAGGGACACGGTCAAGGACACGGTAAAGGGAGAAATGGAGGAAGAGGAAATGGCAATGGAGGAAGAGGATTCGGAGGAAGAGGAAACAGTGGACAAGGTGGGAATTGGGAAAATCAAGGAGGAAATCGGGCTGGGAATTTCAATCAGTCAAACTTTAATCAAATTGGACAAGGTTACAACCAAGGTTATGGCCAAGGTTACGGTCAAGGCTATAACCAGAATTACAGTGGAGGGTTTGGAAGGAGTGACGGGCAATGGAATGGTCAAGGGGCCGGAAGAGAATGGATAGACTATAGTGAGTGCGTATGTACCCATTGTACGATAAAAGGACATACAGTAAGGAGATATCATGTTAGGAGGATGGATGAGCAAGATGGCTTGATCACATCAAGTATCGACGGTGATGTGTTCGATAAGAGAGGAGATAAGATCGATCCAAACATTCCTGGGGGCACGAGAAAAGAAGCTATTAGAGTCGCAGGGCTTGGACCCAGCGCCCCTGCCATATTTCGTATATGGCAGGAAAAGGAAGACCCTTTCATCTGGGTGGAGGAAGTTGATGAGCTAAGTGACTAGTTGAAGAAAGAAGTGAGGATTAGCTAGGAAGAAGAAAATACGCCACTAATCGAAATTGAGTCATACGAAGTTAGTGTAGTTAGAGAGTCGGCAAGGGAAACCCTGGGAAGAATGGAGGACATGATAGATAAGATGGGTAGGTTAAATGTGAGAATGTCTGATATCTGCGAGGAGGTAAGGAATTTGGAAATAAGGATGCCGCACGTATTCACAATGGGTCACGAAGGAAAAAATTACCAGCCTAGATCTCCTAACCCCAGAGCATTAAGAGCTACTCTGGCGGCTGGTTCAGAAGCAGCTTACCAAATACTGAGAAACTTTTTTCCTCATACTGCACAAAGACCTAAAGGAGGGAACGCGCCCAAGGAACCAGCGCAGGCTCCTATACCACCTCAAGGAGGAGCCTGTATTGAAATAGAGGAAGAAGAAGAGGAGAAACATGATGAGGTGCCTAAGGAAGATGAGAACAAACAGCCTGAGTTAAAGGTTAAAAAACGGAAGATTGATGGTAAGGAAGGAAAGGAAAAAACTAGGGAGAAGTCAAAGAAGAAACGGAAGTGCCAGACGTCGATTGAAGAAGGAGTTGATCTGGAGAATCTGGTAAATAAACTTCTTGAGGGACATAATGAGTTGTTAAATTTAAAAGAGATTTTGGCAACTGCACCTAAGCTCATGGAATTGGTAAAAGCTAAACTGGCAAGAAAGAGAGTAGCGACGGTAAGGATAGGCGACCTGATCCCCAAGGAAGCCAACTGGACTGTGGCAGGGAGTAAGATGGATTGAAAATCTGTGGGGATAGGGTCCATAAATGTCAATATCAGAGGGAAAGGATGCCCTGGGATGTTGGACACGAGAGCAAAGATGAATATTATGAATCTTGAAATGGTTGAGATGCTAGGGTTGGAGATCGATATGAGGGACTCAGGTTACCTCAATGGGGCTAGTGGAAAATCAGGCTACGCAGGGATTGCCTCAAATGTAGTTGTGGAAATAGGAAGCGTCAGGGTCCGATCCTGCTTTTACATAATGCCTACCTTGGATCTTCCTATATTACTGGGAAGGTCCTTCTTGTCGCAAACAGAGTCTCTTATCATGAACAAGCATGATGAGACCATGTATGTAATTTTATGTGACCCCGCTCATGGTAATTTCGAGGTCATTACCTGTAAGAATACAGACCCTCATATCTCGAAGAACCGACTCAATGCTGGGTCATATACCTTCGAGGAATCTGCGAATAGAAGAAGAGAATTAAAGTGGGGGCTTGATGAGGATGAGGAAGAGGAAAAGAGTGGAGGATTAACCCTGAGCCTGACCAACATCGATCAAGCTATGTATATGGTATCCGCGTACGATATGGCTGAACCAGAGGTCATTCGAGCATTGGCTGATAAGTTGTATGATTTCCCTGAAGGGAGGAGGATGGAGTTGGTGTACAGGACGGTAGACAAAAAGAGTCACCCTGTTCCGGTCTTAGTGACACATGAGGGGGGGTGTACTATGAGCAGGAACGAGAATTGATTAGGCAAATGAGAGAGAAATGAGAAGCTGAATCCTATCGTATCAACGAGGAGACTGAGAAAGACCTGATCATTGGTGAACCTGAATTCTTAACCAAGCAAGAGAGGGCGTTAGTAGTTGACTTAATGAAGGAAAAACACAGCGCCTATGCCTTCAACGATGAGCAGAGGGGAAGGCTTGATGTGGACAAGATAGGGATGATCCGAATTCACATAGTCCCGCATCAACCTTGGAATGTTAAAGGAGCCAGGTATCCAAATCCCGATGAGAAGGGTGGTAGAGTATCTTGACGGGAAGATTGGTTCTCACGTAGCAGGATTCTCTAGCGGACCTTATGCCTCGTCATGGTTCTGCTTCATCAAGCCAAATGGAGTACTCAAGTGGGTGCAAGATTTGCAAAGGTTGAATGCGGTAACGGTTAGGGATGCCGGAGGGCTCCCTGACGCTGACCAACTTTCTGAAGCCTGTGCTGGAAGGTCCATTATCTCGCTCATAGATCTGTACTCCGATTATGACCAATTCCCAGTGTATCCGGCAGATAGGCCGATCACGACGATGCACACTCCGAGGGGATTGATTCACATGAACGTGGCACCCCAAGGATGGACGAACGCAGTAGCCATGGTGCAAAGGAGTATGGTGAGAGTCATGCAGCCAATCAGTCCACAGATTATTGAACCATACATCGATGATCTAGCAGTAAAAGGCCCTATGGTGAAAGATGAGCAAGAGGTTGCCCCTGGCATAAGGAAGTTTGTCTAGGATCATGTCAATGATCTCAGGAAGGTACTCGATTTGTTACAGGAATATAATCTTACAGCTAGCGGAGCTAAATCGGGGCATTGCATGAGTGAGGCTACTATATTGGGTTTTGTGTGCAACAAGCAAGGACGTCGTCCAGACACCAAGAAAACGAATAAGATCCTTGAATGGCCTACACCATTCAGGAACGTTAGCGAAGTAAGGTGTTTTCTTGGGACGTGCGGGTTCTGAAGAATTTTCATCGAACGGTTTGTTGCAAAGACTAAACATGTGAGGAAACTGGTTAGAAAAAACCAGGAATGAGAATGGGGGGAGAAGCAGGAACAAGTGGTGAAGAGTTTGAAGGAAGAATTTAAAGAAGGAGGTCTTGTGTTGGGGGTCCCTGATTATAAAGCTGTTGTAGAAAGACCCTTTATCATAGAGACTGATGTTGAACCCACAACTCTGGGAGGACTCCTAATACAGGCAGATCTGAAAGTGAAGGAAAGACCTTTGCGTTTTGAGAGTCGAACCCTCAATACTACTGAGCGGAACTACTCTCAATTCAAAAAGGAAGCCTTGGCAGTACTGCACTGCCTGCGTATCTTTAGGCACTATCTTTATGGGAGAAGGTTTGTCCTAAGGATAGATCCAACAACCCTTGTATATTCCCTCAAGAATTTCGCACCCACATATCCTACTATCGCCAGATGGCTCACGTATATCTGGATGTTCGATTTTCAGTTATAACATACCCCGGGGAATAAAAACAGGGTTGATGGATTAAGCAGGATAGAGTGGGAAAAGCCTGGGGATGCAAAGGAAGAGATTCCACCAGTGGATGAATTTCTAGATGAAGATGATATGCAACTCCATGTGAATTCATGGAGACTGAGTGTTAATGATAGGGATGCAAGAAGAGAGAAATCCATGTGGTACGCCCCAACAAACCTTTGTAAAGATCGATGGGCTGGTATTGAAACCTTTCATTGAAGAGGACCCATGGGGAGAAAGGAATGGAGAGTGGATGGAGGAGTTGGCTCTGGCAGAGACCTACAGATTGACTGACGATCCAGTGACGATTGAGGCAGGAACGAAGCAGGTAGATCAGCACCTTCTGACAATGGGGAGAATACACTACCTCGTCAACTCACTACTACAAGTTCAGGCTGCCAATAAGGAAGAGATAGTAAAGGCAGACGAGATAGTGTTGGGGGATGATTTCTAATTTGATGAGGAGATGAAAGAAGAAGAGTTTGAACAAGGAGAGATCTCGGAGGATTTCCAGGAAGAAGAATATGATGGGTTCCACCTAGAAATGAAACTTCTTCTCTCAGGGGATAAACGTGAAAGAGATGTTGATAAAAAAACTCTCCGTATGAGAGATCATTACTTAGTGAGGGGAGACCATCTCTTCATCAAGGACAAAAGGGGACCTCCTAGGAGGGTCATTTGTGGCAGGAATCGGCAAATCGATGTGATAGTAGCGCTTCATGATGGACCCATAGGAGGTCACAGGAGTTTCACCACTACCATCAAGAAGGCGACCGAGCTGTACTTTTGGACGGGCATGTATGGAATGATCCGAAAGTACTGCAAATCGTGCGTTCCCTGCCAAATCAGATCTCCAATCAGGTGCAAGGAACCCCTACATTCGAGATATATCAAGGATGTGGGGGCGGTGATCCATCTGGATCTCCTTGCAATGCCATTGGGACTTAGAGGCTATAACTATATCTTTGATGCGCGGGATAACCTTACAGGATTTGTTGATGGAAAGGTCATCCGAACCAAGACAGGAGCAGTCTTGGCAGATTGCATCAAAGAATATTACCTCCGGTATCCTTTCGTTGTGGATTTACAACGGATAGGGGGTCTGAGTTTACGTGTGGGGAAGTGAAAGAGTTGTTGGACGACCTAGGAGTTATTGCCAAGTACACGACCAGAGCACATCCGCAAGCGAATGCACCGGTTGAAAGAGAGCACAGTAAGATCACCAATTTGCTGGCAAAGTGGACAGCTGGAAAGCCAAACCTGTGGCCCAAGTTCCTAAGAGCAGTGTTCTTTGTCGAGAACATCACAGTCAAGAGAACCACAGGTTATGCCCCTGCAACCCTGTGGTGTGGAAGGCATGCCACGTTTCCTATAGGAGTTTCTTAAAAATGTGGCGAAGGCAGGATCTCGATAATGATATGCCTCTGGAAGAATTGATTGACATCAGGGCCGGGCAGGTCAGTATTACTGAAGAACGGATACAGGAAGCAGTGGAAAGAGTGGCTGACAGTCGTGGAAGGGACAAAGAAAGGTGGGATAGATCTCCATGCGTAAGGGATGAACCATTGGAAGTTGGAGAGATAGTACTGCTGTATGACTCCTCACTCGAGAAGCAATGGTCGAGGAAGCTGGACAAGAGATTGTTGAGACCTTTCAAAGTCAGACACAGAGGGAATTATGGAGCTTATGAACTAGAAGAGATGGATGGAACACCAAGAAAAGACTGGATTTCTAGATCTAGGCTGAAGAAGTTCAATATGAGGCAAGAGGTGAGTTCCTTTACGAACAGACTATTGTTAACCAGCTACTGACTTTTTCCTTTATCTGTCACTCCCTTTCCTTTTCTGTGTGCAGGCGTGACCCAGGAAAACAGGCAGCCATGGCAGAGAAGGGAGGGATGGCGGGTCCTTCTAGGACAACTCCTGGAAGAGAGGGACAAAAGAAGGCGCAGCTAGTAACGGTTTTAGGCTGATCCCCTTAAGGGTCCGCACATGACAATTCTTACTACGGGATCTCTGAATTCTCCTTGGTATGGTACCACCGTGGAGTTATTTCCCCAGTTCCCACGATCTCGAATTTMATTGAATTGTCTCCTGAAGGTTTAGGTCCTTGCGTGAGTACCTTCTCAGGCAATCTAGTGCCGCGTGGATTCTCAAGTCTCGGGCTCGCTATTGACATCGAGCACGAATTCAGYCGTGGCTTACTGTCYWCGTATACGCCTGCCGCCTGCTTGAGACGTGGACAGTAACGTATGGCCCGGAATGGGACCGGCTTCACGTATCAAGTCCGTTATCCTAACCTTACCTTCTGCTTCATCGAAGCCGTTCTTCGACTTTCGCGTGCTGCTTTCAGGCATGACCTATCACTAGGCATACCACGCACGTGTAGCTCACACCCTTAGCCTGGGCCAGCTTGAGATGGTGTGGCAGAGTTGGAGCCGCCCTGCAATCGAGACCTACGACCTGGGCGCACTCAATAATTCCTTGCATCATAGCCTAAGTGCAACGAAGTTGCCTCTACCAAGAAAATTCGGGAACGCCTTCAACTTTTTTGTCCGTGTGCCGGCACGAAGTGTGGCGTCAGAGTTTCCATAGTACATGAAAATGGAAGGGAAACAGTCAGTARTCTTGCCAAACTGATGGAGAGCCGTGTGCTTGGAAATCTTGCACGCACGGTTCGGAGGGAAGCTTAGTCAGATTACACACACTGCTTACCCTATCTATTGGGTCGTTGGTTAATCGCTAGTAATCGCGGATCAGCATGCCGCGGTGAATATGTACTCAGGCCTTGTACACACCGCCCGTCACACCATGGGAATTTCTTTTGCCCGAAATCGTCTCTATGATAAACCAATGACTTTGATACGTTACGCACGTCAAGTGCGCAATATGTTTTTCGCATCGTTGATCATAGAGACTATCACGGTAGAATCAATGACTGAGGTGAAGTCGTAACAAGGTAGCCGTAGGGGAACCTGCGGCTGTGGATTTCCATGGAATGCCTATTTACAAGGAAGGGGACAATCTGAGGATCTTCCTGAGGGAATTTGAGGAGCACGCCTTCAGAAGAGAATGGAGTACTCGGACCATGCTTGAACAGGTGGCAGGATTGGGGGAGTGCAATGAAGTGATAGACGAGATTGCCTTAAAATGTCTAGGATGGATGGATTTCAAAGCCGACATGTGGGCGAAATATAGGGATCTGACAAGGGATGAAATCGAGGATGATATCATTTTCGATAACACCGACTTGGGTGATTTTGAGGACAGCATCCGCCTTTGCTCAGAAAAAAGAAGGTGGGGTGAAAGGAAGATGTTGGAACAAGTGATGAGGAGGATCACACCGAGGGAGTATGAGGCAGTGAAAAAGATCAAGGAGGAGTCAGACACCAGGGGGAGCTTCCTTGTCAAAATGAGAAAGGCCTATCCCTTGGAGGTGCAGAGACAAAAGAAGAAACAGTTACTTCAGGAGCAGGGATTGTGGATTGACAAGAGGGGAGAGAGGATAGAAAGAAGAGCTCAGATGGAAGATAGGGGAAATATCACCGCCCCTCAACAGGGGAATGATGAGTACAGAGCTCAAGGTGAAGATGACTCAATAAAAGAAGACAAGACACAAATGGGGGAGCATGATGGTAAGGAAGTGGAAGGCAATGGCAAGGCAGGAAAGGTGAAAAAGGGAGACGAGAAGGTGAAGGGAAAGGAGAAGGACAGTGAGAAGAATGAAATGGCAGGACCATCTGAAACTGCAGAAGAGTCTACTTCCAATGAGTCTCCAAAGGAACGGGGCACAAGGAGATGGACATAGGAAACGAGGCAGAGAAAAAAGAAAGAAAACAGGGAATGGAGAATTTGGGTTGCAGCCTCGTTAAGAGAAAATGAGTTGCCTTCAGACGCACACTGGAGCTTGAAGTTGGAAAGGATGCTACTCTCTGACACCGTGATCAACTCGAAGCTACCAACTGATATAGACAGGTTGATCCGGTTGAATGAGCTACCAAGGGACGATTGTGAATGGATCCTTGAGGGGGAGGCAGAAGTGGACGATAGGTTAAAAGGAGTGAAGGAAGAAAGGAGAAGGGAATTAGAAGTTCCGTTTCAGGAACTTCAGGATAGAATGAAGGAAAAGACAGAGTTGTTCACGCAGGGAGTGGCAAGTCATGTCCCTGAAATCCTAAAAGAGACTCAGAGGTTGAGAGCAAGAGAAGAGAAAAAGGACATGCAGTGGGCAAAGGTGGAAAAGGAGATGGAAAGTTTAAAAGCAGAAATGGAAAAGGCAAAGATTGAACAGGGAAAGATGGAGGTAAAGGTGGAGGCTCTAAGCATTGCTCTTGACAACAAGCGTAAAGAGGCGGAGACAGAAAAGATTGAGAAAGAGAAATTGGAAAAAGAAGTTGGTAAGTTGGAGTTGCGTCACTCACAGATAACAAAATGGGACAGGAGAGGAAGAGGTCTTACCTTGAAACATTAATTGGGGTTGCATCACAAGATGTCCCATCGTTTGCAAAGAGATCAAAGGAAGAGGAGAAGAAGTTATGTTGGTACTGTATGAAGGGAGTCCACAAGAGGGATGATTGTCCTGATTTTAGGACAGATAGAGAAAAAAGGGTTAGTTAGTCTCGATGAGAACAACAGACTCATCGATAGGAAGGGGAATCTGATTAAAAGAACCAAGGAAGGGTTCAGGGTTCAGCTGTATGAGCAGTTGGGACTCACTTTAAAGGATTAGAATAAGACAGTTTTGATTCCTCTTAGACAGGTATTGTATATTAGGGACTGAGGGTGAAGGAGACAGTATGGTGAGGATGGTATTTGCTCTTCTTACGAGCATCGGATGGAGTATTTTTGTCCAGGTATAGTACTAAGATTTGGGGATCATGTATACTATTTGGACTCGGCATTTTGTACTCTAGTAGTTGAGGGTAGATCAAACGTATGGTTCATTTTCTATCTTGAGGATCTGTGCATCAGTCTAGATCAATTTTGGACATATACTTTTGTATTCAGTTAAGTTTATCTATTCTAAGTTATTTGCGAGGTTTACCTATGGGGAACTTAAACACTTTGCACTTTCACAATTGAGTTGGTCAAGTATTTGATATTTGTGGATAAAATGTGTACTTTGGATATGTGTGCAGTCTATGCTGTCAGATCTTGAACTATGATGCTCAGAAAAACGCCTAAGTGTTCAGGAGTGACAAGAGTGACTGAAATGAGATTTGCAAAGTTTGAAAGTTGTTTTGCACCTATGATGAGTCATTTATGTTTATTTTTGAAGCAGACCCTAAAAAGGGGTATGAAAAAGTCTAAGTTATTTTACATTTGAAAAAACCCTTTGAATCAGGGTCATGTATATTATGAATGGAATGAATGTTTTTTCAACCTTCTTACAAGATAAGGGGTCAAACACATACTTTTATTTTCATTATGGATATTTTGGTTGAATTTTCTATTGAAAAAAAGATCCCCGAGATGTGTGCCTATCCAGCCTGTGATCGAGGTCTGGTAGGCACGGTCCCTAAATGACTCTGACGATGCCCTTCGATCAGAGACAAATTTTTCAATCATGTTGAATCATTCTTATTGATATTGTTTTAAATACATTCAATGGGTTTGTTCACCCATTCAAAGACAACTGACGAGGGGAAATAAATTTTATCTGGTCAAATTGAATTTTATATCTGTATTTAATCATCGTTCATCCACTTGTGGAGGTCAGTCTGAGGGACTTAAAATTACCAAGCCTATGGTGAAAAATTGACATCGTTGGGGCATAACTCCCAGCGTGGGCTGCTGACTAAGTATAACAAGGCAGCGGGCCTTCCGATTACGGCATGAGACTAAACTTGAGGGGAAGGACTCCCTAATGATTGTATAAGTCCAGGTAGATATCGGGGGGATCGAGAGTCGAGTCTAGATATTTGATAGGAGGTATTTTATCCTGTGTTGCGTAACCAATACAGGTACCACCATTAATTTAACAACATGGTGGGTCACAGATTAGGCCTGATCAACCGACTGTGGTGGGTTGAGAACGAGGTCGTCGATCCCCTCGCATTAGACTTCGGGTGGGACGGTAAAAACAGACTAAGGTTGAAACCCTCGTCCAAAGGATAAGATTCATTTATGATTCCTGACTCCTCGGACACCAAACGAGATCCGACAATAAAGTCTAAAGTTGAGGGGAGAGGCTATCATTATATTCCTTGGTGACCTCTGTAACTGTAGTACAGATCCAGTACCCCCACTTTGAGTCATATGGAATAATATTTCTTTGGTATTGCAATCGTTGGTATGTGGGAGACCCAGATTGAAATCCTGGCGGTATGGACGCACCAAAGGAAATAGTGAGGGTCTTCAAACCACGACTTCTGCCAGGAAATCGGATTTTGACAACTTGTTGTGTCAGAAGGCCTTTGTTTGCATTTAGATTCCCCACCGACGGGGACGTCGCTTAATGGGGTCTGGGAAGACTGTCGGAGCTGATACCCTTACAAGAGTATCCGCTCATGATTTTGCAGTCGACACAATGTCGGCACCAACTGTTAGAAAAAAGACGGTTAAAGACAGAAACTGGGGTAAACCCCTCGACCATTATGGTTATGAAAGTTAGAAACCGCAAAGGTCAAAACACGGCACACGCGGACAAGAGTCGGAGGTTGAAAAATTTTGAATGCTCGCAGAGCATGCAGAGACGACAGAGGTTAGTAAATGAAATGACCCCGCACGCCATTCCGGCACAAACGGAGACTGCAAAATGGTTAGTAAGTAAGACCTCCGACCACTAAGGTCGACCACTAAGGTCGGAGGGTTAGTTAAAACAGATAAGATCGCGCAGGATGCGGCGACGATTTTCCTCAGTCAAGTTAACGACTGGGGAAGTATGACCATTTCAGCTCAAGACCGCAGACGTCGAGTATATCGGAAAAGCGGGGCGGGAAACCGCTCCTCGCAGGATAAAATAAAGGTAAAAATTAGTAAAAGTCCTGACCATGTGGCTGGGGCGACCAGGCAAAAGGGCCACAACCTGTTGTAACAGGCTGCGATGGCCTACAATGACCTGGATTTCCCTTACGGTAGACCAGAGAGTTCAGCACAAGCAGCGAAGCGATCAACGCGCCGAACCATGAAGTTGGACAAAGGAAAATCGCCTGTGGGAATGACTTTGGGCGATGGTCCAATGACGGATTTTTCCGCTTTGCCACCAACACCATTAGCTTCGGCGGGTTCAGCGGACAAGAAGACACTAGCATCGTGTACCAGAAGCGGTATGTAAGATTTTGTTTTCAATATTCAGCGGGAGCTGACATCCAAGCGTGCGGATCGGATCAAGGATATGTGCCATAAGGCAGGCATCAGGTACATTACGAGGGACCAAACTGTGGAAGAGCTTGTACGCGCGAAGACGGACTTAGCATACGAAGGGTTGTACGAAGACGGAGAGAGGGCCAGTGAGGTGCGGGAGCAGGTTGGCATTGAAGAAGTACCGGAGGAGGAGGGTTTGACGGCCCCGAGACCAAGGCGCTCGCGAAGATCACCAACCACCTCGCCGCCTGATGAGGACAACAGCTGACTACATGGCCTCAGTTACACTGCTTTCCTTTGGGAGTACCTCGTGGCTCTCCTAGGAATACGAGATGTTATGAGGCGACAGAGCGGTTTTCCGAGGTTTGGCCAATGTGGCCAGACTGGCTCAAGAGCCTATTCTGATGAAACTCCTGGCCATGATTCATTTGGGCTGGAGGGAGGTTCTTCCCCTCCGATTACGCCATTTTGCATAAAGGGTACGGAGACTTTTTGTGATTTGGATTTTTTATCTAACAATTTTCTCATTTTGGCGTAGAGAGCAACGAATCCGGGCCTGACCCTGTTCCGGGTACGTAGGGGACGTTGTTTTCTTCTCTTTTTTCTTTTTCTTTTCTTTTTTTTTTCTCTTTCTTCCAAGCGCGCAGTTTTCGGGAAGGACGAATTCAACACGGTACATGCAGAACAGCTCCAAAACGGAACGGTACGGAACAATTTTTGGAATTTAGCTGATGTTTATTGTGGTTGATGATAGGGCTATAGGCCCTCGGGCACAGGGTGTCACGAAACGGCGGTTTTTGGAATGATATTATGGTGTGTGGTTTCGTATTTAGATAAGTATTATTTACGAAGATCTCTGAAGTTCAGCTGACGTACGGGGAAGAACGGGTAGATACATCTAGTGCTGAGGTCATATGGGTATCCCGTGTCGAGGCGTTTCAGAGAGTTTTTCGGCGACCTTCGACGTCATGAACGCATGAACAGTAGCACAGAGGATACGAATCACCCTTTGGACTCAGTATATAGATGGTGAGCAAGGCTAGGCTCTCCCTCTCTTGGAACAGAAGCTCCTTCGAGCACCTCCTGATGAGTTGGTGGTGGACAACAGAAACCGGTCGAGGATTTTTCGCCTTGTTCCAACAAGCTAGGCTTGGAAAATTTCTCTTGGAGACGACATGTATTGTCTGGTTCGGATCTGACTTCGTCTCTGTGTGGGCTGTTTTCTCCCTAGCGTCAGTTCGTCGCATGCGTCTGTCTCCTGTCTCCTAGCTCCTAGTAGAACCAAACATGGAGCTAGCCCAATAGGTACCGGTACTGACTGATACGCAGAAGATGTCGGGATCGAGCCCGACCTGCCTCCGGGCTAGCTCCTGTTGCTAGCATAAGGGGGCGGGGCCAACCTTTTTCGCCCGTTCACAGATAGGTGGGATTCGACCCCGTGACTTCGAAATTGAAATTAGGTACGACTATACCCCGTTGTGACAGTTGCCACGATGAGGTAGTTAGGAGTTAGATCCTTTTTGTTTTCTTTTTTTTCTCTTCTTTTATTTTATTTTTTTAGTTAGATTTCGTTTTTTTTTTTAGGCCCTGTGGTCAGAAATCCCACATAACCTCGCCTGAGTGAATCTACCGCTGAGATCACGGTAGGTTCAGTCAAGGAGTGAGCTGGGATCCCAGACGAGCTAGCCACTGAAGGCAACAGCGCGACGCCGCGGAAAAATCCGACTCAGGGGACAACGAACTAGGAGAAAGGGGGAGGAGAAAAGAGAGAAAAGCGAACGGAAGCGGGGGAGGAGATATCGCAAGTGGACAAGAGAAGCGGGAGATCGCGCGAGAAAAACGATAGAACGTAAGAAAAAAAGAAGAAGAAGAAGAAGAAGGAGCAAGGAGAGCCAGGAAGAGAGATCGCGCGATCGCATGAAGAGGTACAGGCAAATCTCAAGGGCGGAAATTGTGTTGTGCGAGGGATGAATGAGCGAGTGCATAGTGAGAAGGAGTTGGCGCAGACAGAGGGGGCGCTCGCCAGTAAGGAGGGAAGTGCTCGCTGAAAGGTGGCAATCACGGCAAGGGAAAAAGTCGGCCGCACGTGGTGATGAAGGGAACGACGAAATAAGACGGATTAGAGCAAAGAAAAGCAATGCAAAAAGGCGATAGCGAGAAGGAGACGGGGGAGAAGAAGGAGAAGAAGAGAAGGAGATGGAGAAGAAGAGAAGGAGAAGGAAAGAAAGGAAAAGGAAGTTAAAGGAGAAAAGGAACTACTCACCTACGAAGCAGGAAGCATCCAACAACAGCAACGACAACGGCGACGCCAAAGGAACGGGAGAAAGATAGGTAAGTCGCCTATCTCAAAGCTCGCTCCCTGACATTTTCGACCGAAAGAACGAACGAGAAAGCAAAACAAATAAATAAATAAATATGAAAGATTCATTCCGTTTCTGCTCGTCCTATCGATGGAATGTGTGTATGTGAGACGTTCATGATTCGACCGAAGAGAGAGAGAGAGAGAGAGAGAGAGAGAGAGAGAGAGAGAGAGAGAGAGAGA